ACACCCTGTTGTAAATATTCGACCAGCGGTGTCATCCATGTGGGTCCGGCTGTTGTGAGGGTGCTTACTTTTCGTTCGACTATGCTTCTTTCTTTGAGTACTTCAACCAGGACTTTTTTTGACAAGTGATCGAAACATGTCGATGCTAATTTGCTTAGGGCGTCCGCCCTTCTGTTCTCACTCTTTGGTATTTGTTTAATTGTGAACTCCCTGAAAGACTTAGTGAGCTGATGTACTATCTTAACATATCTCTCCATCCTTTTGTCCCTTGTTTCAAAACTCCCGTTAATCTGATTGGCGGCCAGTCTAGAATCCGTCAGCGCCGCTACAGCCTCTACCCCATTTGTTTGGCCAGGCACAGTCCAGCAAGGAGGGCTTCATATTCTGCCTCATTGTTCGAGGTGTGGAAATCGAAGTGAAGAGCGTAGGTGACCTCTTCTCCCTCTGGGCTGGTCAATATTAGGCCTGCTCCTGAGCCCTATCTGCTGGATGCTCCATCGGTGTACAACGTCCATCTCCGATTGTTCTCCGAGGTTTCTTTCACTACCATGATTCCTTCTTTGGTTATGTCTCCCCCGCGCCGGGGATTTCGAGCAGGAATTCTACCAACGCTTGCCCCTTGATGCTCGTTCTCAGGTGATAACTGATGTCGTGCTCACCTAATTCAATTGCCCACTTTGCGAGTCGGCCTGACGTTTCTGGCTTGAGCAGTATCTGTTTGATCGGGCAGTTCGTCAGGACTTCGATCTGGTGTGCTTGAAAATAACGTCTCAATCGCCTTGCAACGTAAATGAGCGCTGGCACTTGCTTCTCTAAAGTGGGGTAGTTGAGTTCGGGGCCTTATAGCGCTCGGCTGACGAAGTACACCGGCTTCTGCTCTCCCTCCCTTTCTACAACTAAAACGAAGGATATCGCCTCGTTTGACGTCGAGAGATATACCTACAGCGTCTCGCCCAGAATAGGGCTGGCCAATATAGGTAACTTGTGCAGGGCTTCTTTGATCTTCTGGAGTGCTGACTCTGCTGCCCTTGTCCAATCGATGTTACTTTTCTCAATACAGCCCTCTATTGTTGGAAGAGCGGCATGGCCTTGTCAGCCGACTTCGAGATGAATCTACTGAGCACTGTGAGTTTCCCGTTCAGGCCCTGCGCGTACCTCAAAGTGTTTGGAGGTGGGGTCTCCATGAAATCGTCCACCTTGACTCGGCTGGGCTGGATGCCTTTTCTGGTAACGTAATATCCCAAGAACTGTCCCTATTCCACCCCAAAGGTACATTTGCCTGGGTTCAGCTTCATCTTCGCCTTTTCCAACGTTCTGAAGGTTTCTTCAAAATCTCGTAACATTTTTGCCTCATCCGGGCTCTTAATAACCATGTCGTCGACATATACCTCGATGTTTCTTCCAATATGGTTGGAGAATATCGAGTCGACCAATCGTTGATACGTTGCCCCCGCATTCTTTAATCCAAACAACATTTTGGTGTAACAAAAGGTGCTGTGTCGGTATAGAAAGCTGTCTTTTCCTCGTCTTCCTTGCTCTTCAGAATCTGATGATAACCCTTATATGCGTCTAGAAAGCACTTTAGCTTGAAACCCTGTAGTGACTCCACCTTCTGGTCGATTTCTGGTAGGGGATAGCAATCCTTGGGGCACGCCTTTGTTTAGGTCGGAGAAGTCGATGCACATGCGCCATGACCCGTCATGCTTTTGTACCATGACGGGATTAGCAATCCAGGTTGGGAAGACCGCTTCTCTCAGCATTCCCGCCCGTGTTAGCTTTGCTACTTCCGCATTGATTACCCTGTTACGGTCTCCCCCTGGACCCTCTTCTTCTGCTTGATTTCCTTTGTGCCTGGCTTGATCATGAGCTTATGCTCTATGACTTTCCTGTCCACGTCAACCATGTCTGTGGGAGTCCATGCAAACATGTGTTTATACCGTCTGAGCAGGTCGATGAGCGCCTGCCTGGTGTGCCCTGGGAGGCTACGACCAATGTTGATTGGCTGGTCGCGGTATTCTTCGTTAATCACCTCCTTCTCGTTTGTTGATTCAGCCCGTGCTTTCTTGGTTTCTCTTGTTATCTCTGCTGTTCGCATAACCGTAAAGTATTGCAGTTCCCTTGGTGGCGTGGCAAGAATCGTAGTCGGGCCCTCGGTAGTGCTGAATTTCATAATGTCGTGCATTGTTGATGGGACGGCTCCTAGTTTGTGCAGAGTCGTCCTTCCCAATATGATGTTATGCTCTGATGAGTGCCGGATTACAACGAAATCGACAAAGACCATTTTCTTTCGTTGCTTATCATGGGTGGTTAGCGTGAGAGGTAGGTGGATTGTGCCGAACGACCATAAGTTGATTCCTGTAAATCCTACCAGCCTTCCTGTTGTGGGCCTCAGGTTGTCCTTCCACTGATCCGGAAGGAGGCGGAAACAATGCTAATATGCATGACCACATTTTTAATAGAGGCTAGAATTATGAGCGGATTATCACCTTTCCAACCTTCCGGGCTGGGGTCTTGCGCTGAGAATGTAAGTGCTTGTGTTGCAGCTGCGGGGCTTCTTTGATCGATTGAACCTTCTTTCCTACCCCTCTTGCTTCGTATCATGAATATCTCTCTGCGCTGGGCACCTTCTCGTGGTGTACCTTTGGCATTTTCGGCCTCGAACTTAGCGTGTAAGCTCCGTGCCACCTCTACAAGATTTCCCTTGAGTTGTTTCTCCTCCATTTCCTTCTTAAGTACTGAACAATTGGCAGTATCATGCGTTTTACTCTTGTGATATTCACAAAACCGTCCTTTTTGTGCTTTCGCTGGTTGCGGCTTGTCTGCGACCACATATACATCTAGTTGGCGGCCTCGTCTGTCATCCCTGTTAAATGGCCTGAAGCGGCCCTATGGTCTCTTTCCTCGCCCGAAGTGTCTGCTTCCGCCTAGTACCTCCGTGCGAGTTGGGCAATGATGCTTGGTCGTCATGGCGTTTAGATATGCTTGCTTCGTTGATTCACCCTCCTCCTGTCTCAAGTATCGCTCCACCTTTTCCTTTAGTTCAGCTCTCGTCTGCGGTTTTTTGCCCATGAGCTTTTGCGACAAGGGGCCTGGTAGGAGTCCCCACGTGAAGGCCTCGCCTATGAGGCCCTCATCATGTCCTGACACATCCAGGGTGGCATTTGTGAACCCTGTGAAGTACTCCCTGACGCTTTCACCTTCTTTCTGCTTACATCCAATGATGGAGTGGGAATCGCCTTTATACTTCCGCAGTTGCATGAAGTTTGTGAGGAACAAGTATTTGAGTTGGCCAAAGTTGTAGATGCTGCCCGGGCGAAGTGGCTTGAACCATGTGCCCGCGTTGCCATCAAGGGTTGTTGGGAAGTACGTGCACCAGAATCGCTCGTCTAACTTGAGCGACGTCATTGTCCATTCATACGTGTCAATGTGGCTATCTGGGTCGGTGGTGCCGTTATAAGTTTTTACGTTAGGGAGTTTGGCTGTGTTTGGGATTTCGTAGTCCAGCAACTCCTTGGCGAATGGAGATGTGAGACTTCGTGATAAACAGTCTTGGTTCGGGATGGCTAGCGGTCCCTGCATGTTATATTGGTGGGATGCGTTGTATGGCTGCGCCCCTGGATCGTCATAGAATGCATGGTTGCCTGGGTTTGGTCCGTAGAAGGCTTGCTGCTGGAATGGCAGTTGAAGCGAGCATCCAGGAGGAACGGTTTGAGAGTGGGTTGGAGGATGGATTGATGGAGTTTGTTGCCGGCTGGTGTTGGTGGTAATGATAGGTTCGCCCCATGTGCCTGTTGCAGGGTAGAAAAACGGTGATGGGGTTACAATGCTTTGCGCGTGGTGGTAACAAGAGCATCGGATGTGTACACATCAGCATCTGGCTCGGCGATGATATCTGGGGTGATGGTTGGGCATTTGGTATTTGGTTTACCGGCAGCGTCGTTGAGGGGATTGGTAATTGATGTTGCATGATCGGTGTGAAGAATGGTGGCATTTGGGGTATCGGAGATTGTGTCGCCGTGGCTTGGAATGTTAGTGGCGTCTGAAGGGGTGTGACTAATCGTACCATCACCTGAGTTGGCCTTGGCTGCTGAGGTGAAGGTTGTGTGGCAGTAGCACCGCTTGTTTCCGACAATGTGGGTGACGGCGGCTGCTGCTGCTGACTCCTCGGTGGTGCTACAGTTATTATGGAGCTTCCTTCGCATGTGGTTTCTCTATTGGTCGTCATAGGTGGCGGTGTTTCGTCCAACGGTGCCATGGACCATATGGGACTGGTCTGGGCTCCTCCGGCTCCATCGTTGCAGTCGGACGCCATTGATTTCGCTAAACAGTGCTTTTGGTTTCGTTCTTCGTCACACAAATGGATGGCGCCAAATGATGTGACCTCGCTATCGCTTCTCTCCAAGCTCTTTTAATGGACTCCGAGTGGCTTCTGCAAGAGCACAGGAAAGAAAGGCTATCAGCCGTTTCCCAGGAGGAGGCTCCCGGAAAGACTCTCCGACGGTCAAGTTAGATAGGTTTTAGGGTTTATGTGAATGTGATTGGAAGAATATCGCTTACCTCTTGAGCTCCTGAGCGTGTCCTTTTATACCTAGTGACCCTGTCCTGTCCGTACGAGGCAGGATCGCTTTAAGGAGACAAGGTCAGAGGCGTCGATTGGAGGATCATGCGACTCTATCTATCAGAGCGCTATCATTGGCTCCGGTGGCAATGGTCTGATCCTGTATCTTGTCTCCTGACCGTATCTTTTGTCTTGGCACCGGGAGCGTCCCTGGCGGGCGCGAGCCTTTCACCGGGGCGCCCTGCCCTAAGGGGCGCTGGCGGGCGTTGAGCCCGCTGAGCTTGGCTCGGCCAGTGTGCCAGGTTCCTTGGCCGGGCACGATTCTTCCGTGCTACCTTAGGCACGTCATCACTTGTAAATTTAATATTTTCTATGCTTTCAGTTTTATCTTCAATAATTACATTTGAGATTTTTTTTCTTTCAAATCATGAAACGTTCCTTTTCAGGAAACTATGTTTATTGCTTCATTGAGCTTTGAATTCATATTTTCCTTTATCCTCTCAAAACTATTAAGCATTTTATATAATTTTGATTCATATACCTATGTAATAAAAAGAAATATAATTAGAAGTTAATATAATAAATTAGTGTAATCATATATGATTAACATATTGAAATTAGTTACCTCAACAAAATCATCTTCCTCTTTATCACAATCACTGTCTTCCATATTAGTATCTCCTTCAACTTCTTCATTAACAAATTCTTCATTTAATTCTCCAATGCCAAATCTACCTATTTCTTGTTCAAATGTCTCTCGATATCTAATCTTCTCTGAACTCCAATAACAAATTGTTGGACGTTTACGTGTTACCATTAGAGCTTCCGAGTGCATTTTATCAGCATAAAACAACCGTAGATAAATGGTAATTAATTCATATTCATAAATGAATTTTTACAAAATATAGTATTGTTTTTTTTATTCATTTATAGGTAAGTAATGCAAAGCATTAGATGTGAACAAGTAATATTATCTTTTACTTATTCATATATGAATATGTGTTATTCAGTTATGAGTAATTAATATTATTAAAAAGTGAATATAAACATTATAATATATTAATTATAAATAACTTACCACCAAGAAAGTTGATGGTCCAACAATGTAGATGGTATCCGAGTATGGTATGTATGAGTTCTTTGTTCTTACGAGACAATCTAAAATATAGTTGCACCATTCTATGTTGCTGATATTTGTTTTTCTTGAAATATAACAGTGACAACCCGAAATTTCTAACGTGTACATTCTTCATTTTCATCAAAGTTAGCCTCGTTTCGCTATTTTGTAATGAAGTTTTGGGTCTATATGAGTGCTTGAGGCTTAGTATAACCTTGATATGAGTCTTAGGAAGGGTGAGAATGTGTGTAGCATCATTAAAACGGGCCAAACACACCTAGCGAGGTGTGTGCGGCCGCACACCCGAGTGTGCGGCCAGCCAGCCGCATACAGCCAACCGCACACCCTCCTAGCCTCACACTCCAACCTATATAAAGGACCCTAAGTCAACCATACACCCTTTTTCACACTCCTTCAAAGCTAGAACATTTTCTCTCAAGAGTTCTTCAAGTTTTCCTCTCCAATCATCAAAACAAGTAAGTAAACATCCTTAGATCATTACTACAACACATTATAACGCCCTTTCCTCGAGTTTGATCCATGAAATCATCATTCTAGATGATCTTCATGTGTGTACGGCCGCACACACATCATGTGTGACCGCACACACATCTTTTGGTCCTAAAATGGGCTTAAACACTCATCCAAGCTTAGCATCGACCAAAACACCTTCTTAGGATCATCACAAAGCCTTGGAAAATCGATTTGGTCACATTTGTAGGAGTGTGTACGACCGCACATAGGCCTGGCCACACACACCTGGCCGCACACGCCATGTGCAACCGCACACACCCTTTTAAGGGTCCAAAATGGCAACCAACTCCCAATCCGGTTAAGCAATGGTCAAAACACCTTCACTAGAACATCCCAAAGGCTTGGAACCACGTTTTTGACACACTCCATAGTGAGTGTGCGGCCGCACACAGGATTGGCCGCACACTCTGGCCGCACACACACAAAACCCATGGTTTTGTGGCCTTACACCCCAATATAGGGCCATACACTCCTTATGTGCAACCATATGGGTTGGTAACACTTAATTCTAAGTGTTTTTATGTCCTTAAGACATGTCCCTATCACCATTAGTGGTTATATCTACTAGTGTATTCATATAAGTGTTATTACATGGAAAATAGGATTCGTTTGTGCTCAAGACTTCAATTGACACCCGGCGATCCTACATCGACCTTTCATTTGAGTTACTCACTGCTGGTGAGTTCATACCCCTTAATTAACCTTTTAAATGATTTTAAATGCTTTTATGGGGGGGGGGGGAATACAAGTTTAACATTTCTAGTTATTGCTTTAATCACATGTGATTAATAACTAGAACAAACAGGAAGATTTGCTACTACTTTCAAATTGCTATCACACTTATGGATTTTCAAGCTTTCAAACCTTTTATTAAACTCTTATGATGCTAAAACAGTTTTCAAACTCTTTTATACTTGTAATATTTTCAAATCCATATCTACACCAATATATTTATATAAGTAAGACTTAAAGGACCTAGGACTGATAGCTCACCTTATTTCCTGTTCCTTGTTTGGTTGTGGACTCAGGGTACCCTGTTATTTGTCCGAATGTCGTTTAATTCTTAGTTATATATCATATATATATATATATATATATGTGTGTGTGTGTGTGTGTGTGTGTGTAGGATATAAAAGCTTTCACTTCAGTTCAGTACCTTTGTGTAACAAAGGCATCCAAACAATCTTACTATTTAACTATTATAGGTATGGTTAAGGGATTACTACTCACTACTACTATTAAAACGACCCATACAAGAGTCAATACATTTATGAGCCACTACAAAAGTACTACATTGAGTAACAGAACATACTATACACTATACAAGAGAAGATACTATACACTATACAAGAGAACATACTATACACTATACAAGAGAATATACTACACACTATACAAGAGAACATACTATACACTATACAGACATGAAATACTAAAACAGAATGTGACATACTACTTCTCGATACGACACTTCAGTGTGCTATCACCGTGTAACTAGAGTCTCCTGGAGGGAGAGCGGGCATTATGTGTATAGATGTTTTCGGGACAGACACTCCCACATCCCGACTGCTAGCTACAGTCCGAGCTGACTAGGCCCAGGGGTGACAAAATGTCACCATACTACGTGTGACCTGGAGGGTCATCAGTTATTCAGTCGTCGATCATCATGGTTACATACGAGTTCACATTCAAACCTTAAATTAACTAAATAAGGATTTAAGGCAAAAATAGACTTTTCGAGGCGTACCGCCTGGCGTCTACATATATTACTATGAACTTTTCGAGGCATACCGCCTGGAGTCTACATATTCTACTTTGGACTTTTCGAGGCGCACTGCCTGGAGTCTACATATTTCTACTTTAGACTTTTCGAGGCGTACTGCACATTTAGTACTACCTGGAGTCTGTATTTCATTACTTTGTGACTTTGTCACATACTCGTTTAAGAAAACTACATTTTTATACTAATAGTTTTCACTGGGAAAACCCTTATAATTACAAAAAGAACAATCATACAAACAATCGGGTCTTGGTAGAAGACTACCTTTTTACTGGAAAACATAGGGTTTTCTAGGGAGTATACTATATCCAAAACATTTGAAATCAATTATTACACTACATTGTTACTAACGTTTTTATACAAGCAATGACACTAAATACTTATGAACTCACCAGCTTTATGCTGATACTCGCTTTCAAAATAACTTGTATTCTCAGGTCATCAGTAGACAGGTATAGATGAAGCTTTTGAGAAGATGGAGCACATACAAGACTCATCTTTTATTTTGATTATACTTTTGGTGTTTTTCAAAACTATACAGAACACGCTTGTATTACAATTATTATATTAATGCAATGGATGTTGTTGCTTGTCTTTACTACTATGCATTGTTATGATACTGTACATGACGTCCTCCACCCCAGAACGTTTCCGCCGTTCTCGGTTTTGGGGTGTGACAGATTGGTATCAGAGCACTGTTTATAGTGAATCAAGTATATCAACCCATAAAAGATATACGAACTATAAACACATCGGGATTAAAACACTCTGACCAAGAATATATACTTTTAAATAATAAAATATTTAACTAAGTATATATATATATACATCTATTCATACCAGGGTCTGTATCATACTAGAAAAGAACAAAAGTATTATGATTGTTGGACATCACAATTAGGCTTAGAGACATATAGTCAAACCTAAGGGGATATAGCCTGATCAACTATATTTTCTGAGGAGTGACTAGCATGTGCCTAAGAATGATTGTAATGTTGCAACAAGTCTAAAAATTTACCAACACTACTACAACAAGAACATTAGAACAATATACCATAGGGGTATTTTGTGTTACTCTAATTACTTATGTGCAAACAAAAGGATCTACATTAGTATGTCTATTAACTATTCTTTCCCCATTCTCGCGTAAATACTATGGCTGACTTAAGGGTTCACCCAAGGGGTGCCCGTCGCCAGTAGAGGATTATCCACTCATCCTTTCCCTTCTTAAAAGAATAGACTTCCTCTTCAGTATCTCTGCTTCACTCGTTTGTAAACATTCATAACTTTGAAAGTACTCTAACTAGACTTCTAAGCTGCCAACATTTTCCATGATGGTGTTATGTACGACCTATTGTTAGGTCACTCTTCCTGAATTCATTTTACATCATTAATACCAGTAATATTGGCTGTTGTCTAATCTATGGGAAACTATGTGCTTCTGCATTTCCCTACTCTATTGTTATAACTCTATCTAATATTTGGACTATGGTGATTTAGTCCATGGAACCCACTCATCATACTCACAATCGATTCTTACTATTATCATCATCTCTATCAATTTTCAGTAAAAGATGCCGCCTCGTCCTCGTCCGACCAGGGGCAGACCTGCAACTCAAACCCCACCTCCACCACCTCCTCCACAGCAGTTCGATGCAGTGATGTTCCAGGCAGCTGTGACTGCAGCTGTGACCGCCGCCATGGCCCAAGTAAGATAAAGTTTGCTGCTTGCACCTTCACCCAAAGGGCCCTGACGTGGTGGAATGGCCATGTCAAATCACTCTCACTGGTAACAGCCAACGCCATGGGCTGGGACACACTGAAGGACCTTCTGACAAGGGAGTACTGCCCGTGGGGCGAAATCCAGAAACTCGAGGAGGAACTCTGGAACCTCAAAATGCAGGGTTCCGACACAGCGGCTTATACAGCCAGGTTCTGCGACCTGGTGGCTCTATGTCCTAACATGGTTCCCACCGAAAGCAAGAAAATTGAAAGATACATCTGGGGTCTATTACCCCCATATCGAGGGAACGTTCCAGCCTCACACCCTGCGACCATTGAAAGTGCCAAGGAATTGGCCCAAAGGCTCATCGATCACGAGGTTCCTTCTACCCCATCAACAACTACAACCACTACCCCAACCCCAACCAATGCGACCGACAACAAAAGGAAGCGTGGAGACCGAAGGAGGGGTAAATCAAATCAACCCTCTCCCAAGAACCAACAGACGGTGGCTGTCCATGCTGCCACTACTCCTGCTGCCCCTGTACCAGCCAAAACATATGCAGGGAACTTACCCAAGTGCACCAAGTGCTCTTTCCATCATAACGGCCCCTGCCGTGAGATGCACTGCACTAACTGCGACCGGAAGGGCCATACCGCCCGGTTTTGGAGGACACCACCC